GCCGGGGGCCTAGGGCTGGAGTCCGCCCGCCGGCCAACCGCGAGGCTTCGGGGCGGTTACCCGAGGCGGCGGGGCTGCTTCCCCTACTTGCGCCCGGCACGCGCCTCGAAGGGCTGGTGAGGCCGGTCTGAGAAGCCACGAGAGGGCCGGGCGGCGCGGGAAAAGGAGTCGCCACCCGGGGAAGTGGGACAGCGAGAGATCTCGTGCGCACCGTGGTGTTGCCCGGAAACAGACCCCAGCACCTGGCCGCGTGCTGGCTCTGGTGCAGATGCCCGAAGTCGCCCCGCGTTTACCAATGTAGACCCCTCGTCACAGATTTGGGGGGCGGGGAGTTTGGAGGGGCTCACGCCAGCACAGGTGCCCGGCCCCGCCCGGATTGTCTGCTTATGGATGTCCGGCTTCCTGAGTGGGGCCAGCCTACCTTTCAGTAAGTGGCTCACAAGCATCCTGGAAGATTGCGAATCCCCTGCCTTCGCGTGTTAAAACTTACAGAGCTCAACCCCGACTCAGTCTGTTTCAGGAAGGGGGGGAACGAGTATTTTAACAGTTCACTCAAGTGATTGTGATGCATGAAAAGTACTGAGTAATGTGCTTCATTCGGTGTTTGTCAAAAACAAGGGGGAGGGTTCGCTTATAGTGTCAAAAAGCTTTGCTAGTCCCCACTCCCACAAAAGCCCAGCATAGTTTTTTGCAGTTTTAAGTAGATGCGTTTGCGGTTTTTAATTAAGTTTTTCTTTAAGTTCGCATTTTTTTTGACTGAAGTTATGAACAAACTTGCACTTAGTGGATATTTTTTCCTCAAATTTTGTCAGACATTTACATATCTATAAGCAGGGGGATACATTTTCACACCTCAATATGTTCCCATGCTTCAGTCACCCCTCTCCCCCACCAATATTCTCTTTAGGTATTTTAGATTATGCGGAGTTTATAGGAAAATTGTAGGACTCATCCTGCCACCAGAACTATAACTAAGAGTATACAAACCATTATATTTTATAAACGGTTTATCTCGTTGTTGGTTGTGACATTTTGCACATTCATTTTTACTTTATATTGTTTTAGAAAGAAGCTTAAAGTTGCTTTTCTATTAACATTCTGTTAAAGGATCTAAATTTTTGAAACCTATACCAATCCAAAGAACTGAAATATTTTAAAATACAAAGATGTTTATAAAGACTGTACAATTTTTTCCTTTGTGGTTTTTTTGCTGTGTTTTCTTGCAGTATTTTCAGATTAAATTATAAAGTGGGAAAATCATGGGTTAGGCTTACTGTGCTTTGTATTTACATCTCTTGAATTTTATCATAATTTATACTTGATAGAGACATGCTTATAATCAAGTTCCAAAGACTACATAGGGATTTTATAGCAAGTAGGGTATATCGTAACTTACATTTTTATTTTGAAATTGTCGGTGAGTGCTATTTAAATTAAAATAAATTAAAATCCCTTTTGGGAAGGTTGCTCCAGTACTGCTGGTGAGAGGGTAAGCCACAACTCACCCCCCCACCCCAATAATAGAATCTCAGTCCTCTTTCAGTGACCATAATAACACTTTTCTAGTGGAACTTCCTGTAGGATATGCCAGTCCGAAGACATTTTGGGTTCTAATGTTGCCTGGTTGAAATTCTGACTATTTCTTGCTGGCATTGAATGTTTCAGCATTTTACATTAAACTATAGTATAGCAGCTAAGAGAATGTCTGTTCTGTAATTGTCACAGCTGTATGATCTTGGAAGAGTTAGCATTTCTAAACATTGATTCTGCATCTATAAAATAGGGATACTAGAACTTCATTTGGTTGTGAAGATTAAATAGAAAAACACAAAGCAGTTAACACTGTCTAGTTTATGTTAATCATTGAATATGTTAATTTTTGTTGTCAGTAATGTTATAAATATTTTTGCACTTCCTAAAAGCAAAATTGTAGAATGGGTAGAATTTTGTTTCTTCCCTCCAATCCATAAGGAAAGCTCTAAATCTTCAATGTGACTATTTTGGATAGAGTTCTGTAAGAAGTTAATTACTGTTAAGGGAAGACATAAAGATAGGGTGCTAATCCAACAGGGCTGGTGCCTTATAAAAAACAGGAGCTTTCTTTTTCCACCAGGTGAAGACATAGGAGAAAGGGAAAACGGAAGAGAGCTCTCACCAGGAACCAAATTGGCAGACTATGATTTCAGACTTCTGGACCTTCAGAACTGTGAGAATGTTAAGTGGTTTGTCTATGGCATTTTGTTATGGCAGCGTAAGCTCAGCAATATTTCTGCATTTCTATAGAAGTAAATAAAACTTTATAAAAGCTGTTAAAAATAGGTGAATTTTACCAATGTGGCAAATTTGTTGATGGAACATTTCACATGCAGTTAGTAGTATAAAAATTAATTATAGAAGGCTTAGAAAACATTTTAGAAAAACAGTTCCTTTATTGAAGTTCTCTTAAGTTCAGATACCTTTAAGATTTTGTAGCCTAGGGTCCTCCCTGGTGACACAATGGGTTAAAGCACAGCACCGTGAAGCTACTGTGAAGCTAGCCTCAGCTACTTCAACTGAGTTTGATTCCTTGTCAGGGAGGTGACCCACATGGTGCAGCAGACCTCTCTTGTCTTGCTTACTACTCCCCTCAGCAGTGTACTGAGTCTGCCTGTTTTGCTCCACCGGTGCTTTTTAGTACAGTGAATACCTCTTGTTTAACAGTTACTTTGGAATTTTCATTTGTTCAGTAGTTCAGATGGCAAATAGTAGGAATACTTCCCTGACTGCATAGAAAATTTAGGACAAAAACTGGTGCTGGAAACTGAAGATGAAGTCTGATTTTACAATTTTGAACTAAGGGGACAGAAAGAAAAATGCCCAGGAAGATAGCTAAAGTTTAATTTGTTTTGTGGAATATTTTAACAGGTTCAGTTGCAAAGAACAGAACTCATAGAATTCACAATTTATAAGGAAAAAAATTCTTATAAGTTATTACATGTCTTGGGAGGGTGGAAGAAACAAGTAAAACTATGAAAAAGTACCCAGTCACACTGCCAAGATAGGCCACCGTGGGAGCTGCTGCCCATTTGTGATCAAGATACTGCTTGCCAAGTCACAGATTTGGGCTGCTAACTCCAGAACTGTATCTGAAGGCACTTTATCTTTCTCCCTTTGCTACAAGGTGAAGTTCAGGAGGTCAGAAACAGTTATCAGAGACCGGATATAAGAGAGAAAAGACAAGTTAATTGAGTTAATTGAGGTTTTTAACATCAGGAGTTTTAATAATGGAGTAAATGGTTACATGAAATTTAGTGTACAAAAAATTTTTTGCTGAACTAAAGGGAAACATGAATCTACACATGTAGAAAACCTGAGTACTGGGTAGGCAAACATCTGTTTGTAGGCATATCATAAAATTTAAGGATAGCAGAATAAAAAATCCTGAAAGATTCCTTAGCAGATACAGATCCTGGCAAAAAGCTTCTCAGTAGGAGACTAGGTATTAAGAGACAATGTCCTGAAAGTTCCAAAGGGAAAGAAATTTGAACTTGGAATTCTTTACCACCAAACTATGGATAGAATATTGGAGCAGAATAGAGATGAAAATTAAATAGAAACAGAAAGCTCTAGTTCCCAGTGCTCTTCTCTCTTTCTCTCTCTTAAGAAATTGGAGCTAATTGTGTTATAGAACATAAGTGGTTTATCACACGGCTGGTGTTCTCCAACTGACCAGGCCAGGTTATAGCTTCATAGCAAAGAGAATTTAATTACTTAAATCAAGTAGGAGGTGGAAGGAGGACTCATAATGTATCAACTTGCTTTTCTAAAGGGAGTTAGGATTTTCCTAAGATTGTTGGTCCTTGGCCAAGGTTGGAGGGCAAGGCAAAATTTCATGATCTTGGCTATACAGATTCAGTGTAACTTCATGACTAGATTATTCCTCTTCTGGGTTGCATGTTTGGAAAATAGTAGCAAAGAACCTTTTTGGGCAGTTATTTTATTATGTAAGTGAACCATTAGTGATGTTTGGTCTTGAGAGTTTTTCCTGCTTGTTTTATTAACTGTAATAGTTTGGGCTGGGATGAGCATTTATAACCCATAGCTAAATAGCACTAATGATTTGTCCAGAAGGTAAGCTTTCTGTTTCTAAGTAAGTCACACTAAAAGCAGTAAAACTAATTCAGAAAAACAATGATGGCAAGTATCAGGAAATACAGGACCTTGAGAGAGGGCCCACTCTAATGATTCCTTGAAAGTGGATAATTCAAGATAAAAGTTCAGTAGGGGGCCCTCCCTGTGGTGCAACGGGTTAAAGCATAGCACTGAGAAGCTAAAGCCACTTCAGCATGAGTTCGATGCCCGCCCTGGAGGTAACCCATGTGGCGTGGCAGACCTCCCCTGACTGCCTGCTGTTCCGCTCAGCAGTGTACTTTGTCAGTCAGCCTGTTTTGCTCCCCACTCTATCTCTGGTGAATCCTCTCACCGCCCCTGTACCTCTGGCCTGTACCCCAGTTCTGTATACATAAGTTAATTTTTTTTTTCAAAAAAAGGTTCAGTAGGTATGGGAGTGCATGGCAAAAAAGAATACAAAAAATGCAGTCACA